TTACCCTTACAGTTAACTTAAGCAAAACAAAAGTTTAAACTTTCCAGTAAACACACACAAAACATGATGAAGATCTGGTCGCTGCAGTGTTACTAGGGCTGTGAGACAGACTTTGGTTTTAAGTGGGTAATTCCCATGCAGTATCAAATTTTCAACTAAATGACAGCATTTCTTCTTCAGTTTTCTATACTCTATCATTTAAAAAACTAGCACAGTAGCTGAAGAACAGCCCACAGGATTACTTTTTTTGACTTGTGGCCACTACTGTATACACAAAGTTTAAATTTTCATGGAATACGTGTCTTTGGGTCTTACATATTAGGTGATCAAACTTGACATATAGCCTAATGCAAGGCCATAGAACTTCAGCCAGTTGCTCCTGAAATTAGTTTCAGTTTGTAATTTCACTGTATCTGTATAATTTAATGTCGAAGGCTTTAGTTCTAAAAATAAAACCAAAAATACTGAATCATCATTGGAAGTGAAGTATCACCTTGAGAATACTAGACATCAGGATGAAAAAAAGGCGTATGTATTTTGCAAGACACTTGAAGAATTAAAAAAAAAAGGACATTTTCCATTCTATAAACCATACAAAAATGTGTAATTTTGGACGACAGGACTTTAAGTATGTTAACCTGTAATATTTTAATGGAAATCAATTAAGTCACCTTAAAACGCTAGGTTTACAAGCAATGTCAAGGTGAAATACAGAGTGAAGAAAAGACACCGATGCAAAGGTGCACTTGCAAAGTTCACGCAAACTGTTTTGCTCACTTCTTGGTAAAACCCAGTAAAAATATTCTGATATGAGTAGCAATCATGGCCCAAGCATAACTACAATTACACAAATGCATCCAGTGAGCCATGTATACCATCAGCTGTACCAGTAATTCTCAGAGGAAAGATGGAAACGCTTGGTTGCTTGACTAGATACAATCTCCAACAGGCAGACAACTTCAATATATTTCCACCGCACTTAGTACAAAAAAAGTTACTGAATTTTATAAGAAAGAGACTCTTCCAAACTCAGCACAACTTTAGTATTTGTCTACCAACCACCATTTAGTACTTCTGACTTGCTGGCTAACACACAGTTGTCCTGGGGAGTACTTTTATGGGATCACTTCCACATTTCATCAAACAAATTTGTCATGCCAACCACAATTCAGGATGATTTCAATCCCAGACATCACTGCAAGGGTCTGCCAGAGGAGGTCGAGTGATTTGACTGTAGAGAGAGCAAACATAGTTTGCCTCCAAATGAACCTTCTAAATGAGGTGGGTACCCTACTTCTAATTATGCCAGTGAAGATGATGAGAATAAGCAACAATCTTTCAACGGGTGTGAATCAGTCAGTAAAGCAAAGCAAACTTGTCACAGTGTAAAAGAAAGTAGCCCTACTACTTGCCCAAGCAGCTGTGCAAAGGACTTTCCAAAAGCCACAGTAACGCAGACAGCAGCAGGCACCCACAAAGAAAGATGCCGTAAGATGTCAACGCCTATTGAAACAAATCTGGGGGGAAAAAACCCCGACGGCACCTTTTCTTATGTTTTCCTTTACCTGTCTTGCTCACCAGTTTCTCCATGTCTGTCCACCTCCCTAACATGTTGTCACTTGAAGAATCAAACTTACAAACAGAAAAACTATGTTACTCGCCTCACCCACAGAGGTTGGCAACATTACTACTTGTTTCACTTTCCATCTAGAAAAAAGAGTCTCTTCAACATTTTTCAATAAAAGTTTCATATTTTCTTCAGATCTTCTCCCCTCTCAAAAAAGGCAGGTAATCATTACCACAACCTCTAAAATGCTCAGGGACAAATGACATACAGGATATACAGCCAGCCCAAGAAAGTCATCCTTCTAGCCCGTTAGTGTATTTCAAGGTTTCAATCTTTGAATTCCAAATCACTGGCCTACAGTCCAGCTCCCTCTCTCCAGAGATGATATCCAGAGTAAAAACAAAAATCATCCCGCAAACAACAAGTGAATCCATGCAGATTTTTTTTTCTTAATTAAAAAAAAAAAAAAAAGGAACTTACCTTCATTTTTATTGTTTATAAGAGGATTTCTCATTTGTATTTTGGAAGAACCATGACACATATCAGCAGGAGTAGTTGGCATTCATACTTAGTCAAACAATCGCAAATAGATTATACACTTTTTTCGATCAAGACACAAGATCAAGATTCAGAAGGAAAAATGGAGGTGTAACAAATGGTACCGCATTTCACTCACCAGATTCAAAGAATATTGTATGGCATGAATTACAAAGAAAATATCCATGAAACAGAAGTAAACCCCCAGTCAATAACACCAGCAGTTCATATCAGCAGAGTAGTTGGCATTCATACTTAGTCAAACAATCGCAAATAGATTATACACTTTTCGATCAAGACACAAGATCAAGATTCAGAAGGAAAAATGGAGGTGTAACAAATGGTACCGCGTTTCACTCACCAGATTCAAAGAATATTGTATGGCATGAATTACAAAGAAAATATCCATGAAACAGAAGTAAACCCCCAGTCAATAACACCAGCAGTTCACAGAAGGGTTTAAATTACCTAATATTCAACATTTCAGGTCAACTTGCAGTTACGTACTTCCCAAATTAGTGTTCACTATATTTAAATTATTTATTATTTTATGGTTTTTCAGGCATGGCTACAAATTTCATTACAAGACAAAACTTGTAAAAAATGAACAGCAATTTAGAAAAAAAAAAATGCAAGAGAGACAGCTGACACATATCAGCAGGAGTAGTTGGCATTCATACTTAGTCAAACAATCGCAAATAGATTATACACTTTTTTCGATCAAGACACAAGATCAAGATTCAGAAGGAAAAATGGAGGTGTAACAAATGGTACCGCATTTCACTCACCAGATTCAAAGAATATTGTATGGCATGAATTACAAAGAAAATATCCATGAAACAGAAGTAAACCCCCAGTCAATAACACCAGCAGTTCACAGAAGGGTTTAAATTACCTAATATTCAACATTTCAGGTCAACTTGCAGTTACGTACTTCCCAAATTAGTGTTCACTATATTTAAATTATTTATTATTTTATGGTTTTTCAGGCATGGCTACAAATTTCATTACAAGACAAAACTTGTAAAAAATGAACAGCAATTTAGAAAAAAAAAAATGCAAGAGAGACAGCTTAACCCACATCCAAAAGCATTAACAATTTCAGCATCTCAAATAAACTTCGCACTTATGCAATTAAAGAATGTGTCTGATTTTTAAAATAATAAAGTAGTTTATCACTTCAGGCGTTTTGTGAAAGAGGCTTTCACCCGACGGACATCACATGCCACCCGCCCAGTGAGGACGGCCACGCTCAACAGACTACTGAGCCTTTTGCACAAGTCAACATTTCAAACACAACTTAAGACAAGCAAGAAGTGTAACAAGCAGTGGTCACGCTTAACCTCAGTCCAATGTCCAGCAAATAGAATTTTTCTGGTCATTTTTTATGCCTATCGAAACCGATATCCCATTGTCCATCTTTGATCAAATACAGCGACGCACAAAGAGCAAGTATTGGCCACAGCACAGTCTATGGGCCCAACACCACAAACCCGACAGAACTCTTTCCGAAGTGAAAGCAAGTTTTTGGCAATCCTTTCGCATACAGAGTCGTCCCTAAATTTCTCTCCTACTTCCAGGGATGATCCCTTCAAGATTGGCTTAAGCCACATTACGAGGATGGGGAAACTTGCCAAAGCAATTAACTGTGATTTATCTGTCTCGGGAATACAGGCCTTCAGTCTTCTAGTCTATCAGTTCAGCACCTCCGCTCGGCAGTCAACTTGCTTAAAATATAAGCCCACCCGGGGCACCTTTCACTGCCTTCTACAGGTCTTTTCACCGACGGCAGCACAGATGTAACTCCATTAACGGGAGATGCACGTGCACCAACAGTACAGTAAGACATCTTATTCTGTCAAGTGTCCTGAAGGCTGTCTGTCTCCCTTTGACCTTAGCCTTCCAACCTCTGGATATAAATATTCTTTTATAGAACACTGCCTGGATGCATATTAACTACGAGATAAAAGCATTTTTGGTTTTGGGTGGCCACTTCTTTACCCAAAAGACAAGAACGGCACCAAAACAACAACGGCTTTTCACTCACAAGGATGACTTCTTGTAAAAATAAAAACAAGGAAGTTAAATCCATGAGAACCATAATGCTTTTCAATTAAGGGCAAGGATGTGAAATTGCCACACATAAGACAGGAAATTCAAAGTTAGGCTGTCACCTCATTCCCTTCTTCACCCCAAAACCTTCCTCTCCCCTCAGCACACCCTTTGACCACCTCCCGAGCGACGAGTGAAGGATGGCGTGTCAGAGCCTTAACTTTGAATCTTTTCGGCTTCCCTCGCAACCTTAACCGTATCGTTAGAGCACGAAGAGCTGAGGAGTTTAAATTTTAATATTTTGCATCACCGCAGCTTGCTGCATGGCCAAGGCACAGGATGGTAGCACAGGACTTCGCTACAGACACAAATCCAGGAGGAAAGCCCCTCTGCCCTCCCCCCC